CTTCCCCGCCTCTTGGGTGACGCTCCTCCTCTCCGCCGAAGCAGCGGCGCTTCTGGATTTCCCCCGCGGGCGCCAGTTCCCCGCCCTTTCTCGCCTCACTTGCGTTGCTCCCACCCTCTTCCGGAGACAGGTGGACTCGCCCACTGCGCCGCTTTCCTCGCCGCTGCCCTTTCTTCCTAGAAAGCTCGCGGAGAGGAGGCGATCGGCGAAAGCGCCTGGTCGAGTGGGCGGGAGACCGAGCGAGACTGCGTGCGCGCGCGCAGACGAAAACGACGGAATCGCAAATTGGCCGGGTGATATTTTCTCTTCTGGATCTGAACGCAAATGGCACGAATCTCTTGCCTCGGCCAGTTAATTGCACTATACAGATCATTTCTGGGTCTCACACACACACACACACGTACACAGGCGCGAGCTCTTTATTTTGGAAAAAGCACACAGTCACAGGCCGAGGCGGTGCGTTCCGGTGGCAAGTCCCAAACCGGCTGACATGCGGCTCCAACATCATTTGACTCGTGAGGGCTCGACAGCCCGACCCCGATCAGTTTGGATTTGAAATAAGGAAGCCCCAGTGGAATTTGCACCGAGCAAGTAAACATGGATAAATCTGCGGATTTCTTTGCGCCATGCACCTGAGTCTTCCGCTAGGCTCGGGGCCTGCAAAGAAACCGGGACCCCTTCGGAGTCGTTGCTGAAGGTTCTGTATCCCATTCCTCTAAAACTTTCAAGCGCGGGGATTGGCTAAGGGGCCGTTCCAGGTTTAACTCTTTCCAGACCTCTTTCCCTTCCAGCACGATTTCTAACCAATAATTTGCTTGAACACTAAGTCGCTGCCTGACTTGCGGGGTGAATTTATAAGCATCATGTTAGAGGCTACAGAATGGGAGATCAAGGTCCATTTCTCCCCTCCCCCCACAATACATAGGCATGCATTGTTCCAGAAATCCTTGTTCCAAATCTAAGTAAATTAACATGTATTCATTGATATGTAAATACTGTAACTGCTAATACGTTTCCCAAAGGAAGGGAGAGTAAAGCTTTGCAAAATCTACAGCCAAATCTACAGTACAAGAGACAAAGAGAGGGGCAGCCAGCCTAAAACGCTTATATGCAAAAAACCAATAATTTGGCTGTAAATTTTAAACATCTTTCAGGAAGGTTGTATAATAATTATACCCGAGTTGGACCGAGTTTCTAATTCTCATCAACCGTGCGCTAGTGCAAAACGTTTCGCTATATTCAGGATGAAGTAATCAGATATACTTGTTAAAAAATAAAGCAATCCAAATATTCCTGCCTCTTTTGTATTGTTTGTCTGTTGGATTTTACTCTGTGACTGCTGAGAGCCTCTAGAATTCCTCCTAGTCCGCCCCAGAGTAAACGTGGATGGTTAGGGAAGGGAACAGAGTTTTTTTAACGTTCAGCAACTCTTGTTACTTAAACCTGTATCGGAGTGGGAAGATAAGTGTCCACTCAAAATCTATTTTCCCCAGATCCTTCGGAATCCAGGTCATCCAAATCATTTGAGGAAAAGGATTTAAATCCTGGGGAACCAGATAAAAGAGGTCTGGGCAGCAGCAGCGGAAGAGAAATGGACAGAAATTTAAGAAGGTGAGGGGAAGAAAATTCTTCTTTAAGGAAAGATGCTCCCCATAATTCGTAACTGGGAGAATATTACCTTTTGGAAGCGCACTTTGGAGAAATGATTCTATTGAAATGAGTCACTTTTTAAAAAATATGACTACAAGGCCGCTTATTTTACAAATTAAAATTTAGCTTTAACATAACATTTTAAGAAAATACAACAAAGTGAACCCCAATGATATTAAATGATTATATATTGATCCTTACAAACACGTATCTAATTTTGCCCAGGGATGCAGCATCCGAGGGCCTATGAAGGATCAACTCTGTGTTGAGTGAGGAAAGAAATGGAGGGGAGTGGAGCAGGAGGTCAAGCAGGCAGGCCTCGTCTGGCCCTGGCAGGTCCCCAGGTTTAGCTCCAACTCCCCCGCCCCGTTGCCCGGCAGAGCCACGTCGGAGTTCCAGATTGGCCGCAACAGCTCTTCCAGGCAAATGCAACCGCGCCTCGAGGGAAGTGCATTACCGACTGGCCGGCCTCCCGCTGCAGACTCTCCTCCGAAGGCAGCGGGGATGGACACCCCCCACCCATCTTTTGCAAGCCTCGGGACCTTGAGCCTGGGCGCGAGGCCTTGTTCTCGCCTCTTTGCTGGGAATCGAATGAGTCCTGCCTCTTCATCGCCCCCCCCCCCCCCCC